TGAATTGACCGAATTAGTGGAAAACAACCTTGCATTTTAAAGTTAACACACGAATAAATGCCAGATTCAAAGTTAAACAAGACTGAATGATGTTCTGTGCTTTGTTTTCTTTGACCTTTCTTAATGGTCAGTGGTGACAGTTTTGAACAGACCAATGCAATTTTTGAGGAGTGACTGACTTGATATTGTAAAAAAGCGAGACAAACTGAGTCAAATTAATACATTTATAAGCATTTAACTAATGATCTTTCATTTGTTTTTGGGGTGAACATTTATTTATGAAATACATCATATTGAGGAATACGTTTCTGACAGCATTGTATTAATATCGTTTTATAATATGGAGCTATTTTCAGAGATCTTTTTTACATTCCTGTATTGCGCTACTATTGTCTCTTTGATGTAAAGATGCAAATATTAGGTTAGTTAACTGTTTCTTGTTGCTGTTTTCCAATATACCCTGGGCAACACTGAAATGAAGGGAAAATGAGGGGAAATAGGACTGTTCGGGGTAGAAATAGGACAGAGCCCCAGAGGCATCCAATCATTCCTACACAACCAATTCCACAGATTGAAGCTACTTTGTAAAGTTCCAAAATCATTGACTGCATTTGTCAGTGGAACAGAATGCCTTGGTTCACTATTTTATTGGTTTTTTAAATAATGGGAGCCAATTGTTTTTTGAAAGGCAAACCTTGAGTGGAAGAAATGGGTGCTGTGTCTGAAAGTGGCAAATACATCAGTGTGTGAAGACTTTTTTATACAGATTACAAAACTGCATGATCCAGCCATTTATATTCATCAGCTACCTTTTAGCAAAGTGTTTTTCTCCAGCTTAGAAACATATGCTTAAGTGGCAGCTTTTAGCTTTAGTGTGATTCCGTACACCCATTTTTAGGAACGATCTCAAAATTGCAAGTGAAGCCTGTGAAAAGAAAAGTAGAAAAAGCCTATTTTTATGCAAATCTGCTCCTAAATAAGCAGTCACTTTCTCAAATCAGAGATCAGATAACATACTGGCCTTCAAGTCTTTTTTCTGTGTGTGTGTGTGTGTGTGTGTGTGTGTGTGTGTGTGTGTGTGTGTGTGTGTGTGTGTGTGTGTGTGTGTGTGTGTGTGTGTTCTGATTATATTAGCCTTTATGCGCAAGCAGACTCACTGACGTCAGTGCTGAGCAGCATCTCATAGAGGAAGGGTGATGGAGGCCATAAAATTAAGAGCTGATGTTTACGTGTCTGATTTTCTCTTGGTTAGTCACAGCTATATTTTACAGTATAGAAATTAGTACATCACCTATTCTAAAGAATCAATCTCAATAAATCAATTAACCTCTTATCCAATTCAGGTGTACCTGTACCTGTCATCTGTCTACTGCTGCAAAGAGAGAAAGACACTCACAGCTGCACCTACAGTCAGTTAAGAATTGACTGACCAACTGACTGTGAGTCATAGTACCTGGATACTCAGGCTAGCAAAGTGAGAGCACAGGGACTCCACATAGGCCGCAGCTAGCTCCTGGATTCAAATCCAGAACTCTATTGTTGTGTGCTTAACAGTGCATCACTGTGCTGCTCATATTCTATTCTAAAGTAGTTATTTGCAATATACCAGAAATATTTTGTGTTGAAGGCAAATAAAGATTTTAAAAATAAATATCAATTCCCTTTTTCGTATGTGTCTTGTATCTATCACACGCACACACACACTCACAACTCTTCTGTCAGCGCCTATTATTGCTAATAAAAATGAATGAGAGGCCAGTAGCATTTCATAACCTCTGCAGTAACATAGTTCCTGCCTGCATCTAAAGCCTTGAATAGGAGCAAGACAGTGTGGTTTTGAAATTGAAAATAAAACATATATTATTTATGTGAATGCAATATTTAGATTCAGGGGTTTCATTGCTGAAGCCTTACTACATCTGACACGACCAGCTAGTCTCTAGTTGCTCACTGGGGCAAGAGTCCGAAAGCTTTCGATTAATATTGCTGCCAAGCTGATATTACTAAGTCTGTTCGTTTATTTTGTTATCCCTTTTTTACTTGCACTTCCACACGTTTCAGCATTTGCTAGTTTTATTTAATCGATACTGAAAAAATGACAATTTGTTAGCCTTTGTCGATGCAGGACAAGAATCTTGGGAGAAAGCAGTGGGGAGACATGCAATAAATAGCCTCGGCGCACATATGAACCCACAAGCCTCTGAAGTGGCCTTAAGTCATATGTGTCGCCTGCTCAACCCAGCTACAGCACCCGAAAATGGCAGATGAATCAAATATTGCATCGTCTAGGTTAAGAGCGCATTGTTAGTTTGTGTATGCTGTTTAAAATTGTTTTAAAGTTGTTTAAAATTTGTAACACGAAGAAATCGTAACACATGAAAAAACCCATATGAGTTTATGCATGGTACCCTAAAGATGTGGCATCAAAAAAGTGTTTTCATTAGATTAGCATTATTACAAGCAGATACATTAAAGGCTGACAAAATAAATAGATAAGTAAACAATAATATACAAAATATTTTAAACACTTATTAAACGTACTACTTTACTGCATTGAAGGAACCATTTTTCTACCCCTTCTTTGCCACATCTCCAATATTGTTATCTAATAAAAGCTATTATCACATGTGCACTGTAGATATCGACTTCTCTAAACATTATCCAACGTATGCATGAGAATGCACATGTACAGAGCAGTCGTATTAGTAATCAAGCAGTCTTTGACATGTCAGCTCGCTAGTACAAATCTGTTTCAAGTTTATTGTGCCAATATGAGATCGATGAAGACAATAGTCCAGTGAAATCAGAGCCAAGTAATAGCCATCTTATATCCTTCTTCCTGCAAGTGCATCCCAACCCTAAACATTTTATTTCCAGTAGTGAGAACACATCTGAAGCAGACAGCCTCCTGCTGTGTCCTGTGATTCTTCTAACACTGTCTGGAGTTAAATTGTGAAGACAGCTAAAGACAGAAATGCTCAATAAACGTCACCAACAAATGAGTTGTGCCTTATCCTCTTCATTCAGCTGCAATTTCAATACATCTCTCCAACATGATAATATTCAGCCAGTGCAAAAGAAATATAAAAGGAGGGGGGTGCAGATGCCCCACTCTTGACCTTTGTTACTGCTAAAGTGCCCTTAAGCAAGGAACGACTGCCCCTCAAGCTTATGGTGTGTCTCTACATGTGACTTCATCCTCCAATGTGAGACCTGGATATCCTGGAGGCTGTTTGACAGAGTGTGTGAGGGATATGCAGACAGACATAGTGCAGTTGCTAAATTGGTCTGTTATATAATATTCTGCTTCTACTTCTTATTGTTGTTTTCACCAACTCAATCATCAGCATCACCATGGTTTTCATTTTCCTATCGGATGTCCATTCAATGGTTTGGATGGACTGCTTTTGACTTAAATGCTAGGAGCTTCTGAACGTTTACTGCCTGTCCAGCATAGATTTTTCTGTTTGAAATAATAAAGTATTAATTATTATTAATACTTTATTATTAAGCATTAATATTGATCAGATATTAATATTTATACATTTTTACTGCTTGATTCTATGGTAATCATCCCAAGATTTTTTGCTTATTGATACATCCTGAAATTCAGAGCAGTATCACAAACCCAAAAATCTGTAAAATAATGTGTGTTAAAAAGCAGTAATTTTGCAATGCCCACTGCCCTTTGAATTGCATAATTCCATGTTGGCAAATTAATTGCTTCTGTGTCAGGAGCATGCCATTTCAGAGAAAAACTCAGAGTGCATGCAATCACAACACCCGTTTTAAATGACAGAGTTACAACTGAAATCAACTTCTCTTATTTCTGTGTAGCTGTAGCAGTAAAAGGCACCTGTTGAGCGATGACAGGGCCATCAAGCTTTAGCGTATTAGCAAGCCATCTGCAGACGACTGCTTTCAGCACCATGGACAGCACGACACCACAAGTGTGTTTTTTAAAGAATTAAGAGCAGAAAAATGAGACAAGGCCTTATGGCAAATGAGAGAGAAAGAATGAGAAAGAGAGAGAGAGAGAGAGAGAGAGATCTGGCCATGTCATTAGGGATTAGCCTAGTTGAACTGGTTGAAGCTTTAGTCCTCTTGTCCTCACAGACACACACATGAATCAAGTAACATAGTAGTTTGCTTTACTGGACAGACAGACAGACAGACAGACAGACAGACAGACAGACAGACAGATAGATAGATAGATAGATAGATAGATAGATAGATAGATAGATAGATAGATAGATAGATAGATAGATAGATAGATAGATAGATAGATAGATAGATAGATAGATAGATAGATAGATAGATAGATAGATAGATAGATAGATAGATAGACAGACAGATAGATAGATAGATAGATAGATAGATAGATAGATAGATAGATAGATAGATAGATAGAATGTCCACATGTCCAGCTTTATTTTTCCTACCCTGCCCTGATCTTAAAGATCAAGTCTAACTCTAATTATGTAATCTTTTCTTTCTCCGACACACCCACTGAGCCAACAGTCTAGGTAATAACCGCATACATACTAAAAACTGCAAATGTTCTCAATTAAAGAACCCACCCTCTTTCATTTGGGTCCAAGTCGCCACTTTGTCTTGCCCTGTCCTCCTCTCGACCCTCCAAGCATAGCCTCCTGCAGCTCTAGTCCGCTGGGAGAAGCGATACCCGCCCTAAACTCTGCCTCCCCCCTTGTTTCTAACGCTCACCGTTAAGGTGACAGGACGGGACCATTGACCGACCATTCCGTCCACTCCGCGAAATCATAAACACACTCCCTATAGGAAAGACGCACGGTTTCCGCCACGTTATAATGCGCCATCACTCGTGAAAAAACTGCACAAAGGAAGACAACAAAAAAGGGTGGGTGAAGAGGAGGGGTGGATAGGTGATAAACGAAGGAGGAGGGTGGAAGGTGATCAAGTTTAAGATAACACGATGGCAAGGAGAACAAAGGGGAGAAAAGCGAAGGAAAAACACTCACTGTGGCACGGCCGGATTAGAGGATACCCATGTCGGATGCTGCAGTCGGTCACCAGCATCAGCAGCAGCATCTCCGGGCTGCGCGGTGCATCAGCGGCAGACAGAGCGGGAGGGAGGGTGAGGCTGATGATGTAAAAAGCTTTAAATCATTCAGGAGCCCGCTGCACGACATGAGACCGTCGACACTGTGTATTATTCATCCGGTTTATTTCCTGACCGGCCAAGACACCAAGCTGACCGGACATCACCGTTGCAGTCCACTACCCCCCCGTGACTTAAACTGATCCAGCCATGACACAAGGATTATCACTACAGTACGCCCACAATATGCCTCAAATTAATATTCGTATCTTATTCAAAATGAAATAGAGAAGATTCGTTATTACTGATCATTTATGGTGAACATATGTGCTCAAAGAGTAAAAAAGTTTTGTCAAGGCCAGTAACACAAAACAAGGGTATAAAAGGAGCATCCCAGATTAACAACTGAAGAATAGTTTAGGTATAACATTTTTTTAAGTAAATCGCAAAGGATATAGGGTTTTAATCTACTACAGTACATGATATTAAAACTCTTAGTATGAAAGAAAAAACTTCAACTCACTAAGAAAATATTTGCTTTTAAGACTACAGGAATTACCCTTTTTTAGTTCCAAAATTAGTACAGAGAGCTTAAATAGGTTTAATATTTTCATGCCGGTTTTAGTACTTTATAATTTCATTGAGCGGATTATCAGTATATCATGAAACTACCAAACACATCTGCAGCAATAAATCATCTTCCATAATGTAAAGCAGGTGGTATTCAGGCATGCCTGTAAAATATAATGATATCAGATTTAGACAGCTGTTGAATAGTTTCTAGTCAAGTGGCAGAATTGATTCCTAGTGTGCCAAGTGGACCCAACATTCACTAGCAGTGAGAGTCATGCAAAGGCCTGTTGCTAAATTATTAAGGCTGCGCTGGTCTCTGATCAAATATTCAACAGATGGCTATGTTGTTTGCCATAGATAGCCTGTTTATGTCATTGTGTGTATTTGAGTATGTTGAGGAGAAAGAGAGACAAAGGCTGTGTATTTGACTTCCTGTGCAACATCAACATTGTCAGTGAATAACCTGTTCTCCAACTCACCAATTTCAGCAGCCATTAACCCGACACAGACCTTAACACTTGTTTATCAGCAATATTTCTTTACAGATATGCCAACATATATGTTTTTAGAAAAAACTAACAAACAAAGCTCTCTGTTGCTGCCAGGACATTAAGTAAGGTGGGCAATACTGAGTGGGAAGCAGGTCTTATTAATCTTTACGTTGTATGGATACAACATATACATGTTCAAGACTATTCAAGGCTTGAAAAAAAAACATGATTTTAAGAAATATTTTAGTCTGGAGATTGTTCTCAGCTGAAAAAACTGCTCTTAAAAGAATAACAAGGAAAAATAAATAAATAAAATAAACATATTTTCATAAAATGTATCTTGTAACATCTCGCAACAGTAAAGAATACTTGCAAATATTCCTGGATCCAGATCCAGATAACTTGTAATTTTTTAGCAATTTTGCAAACAGATAGATGTGGTGGTGTAAAGTGGTGTTCGCACCAAACGTCGTAGAGACAAGAGTAAAACAAACTGCAAAACATTACTGTAATTTATTTTTCATTAGTTATTTGCACTGTTGTATTAAAAATGCCTTGTTTAGATTTCAGACAGTAGGTCAGTTTCCTTATTTCAGTTTAGTTTTTGATTTTTAATCATTTTTTTGTTTTTGTATAGCTTATTAGTTTCTATCATAACATGGACGTGAACAGGATCCAATGAAAAGAGTCTTTATTGTGGTTGATTTGGGGGAGTTCAAAATCCCCCAAAAAGAACATCGCCATGAGCCAGGCAAAACAGAAGGGTAGATAACAGACCCTTTGACAAAGGAAGAGTCCGAGCTGATTAGGCTAAGATGTAAAATAATACTCAAATATAAACTAAAACACCCAAAACATAAATTTAAAGTAAAATTGGGTGACTCAATAAAAGGACAAGGATCCAAAACTGAAAAAGAAAAAAAATATCCTTAAAGATTTGATCTGTTTAGAGAACAGCTATTAAAATAGAAAAATATTATGTGCTGGCAATTAACTCACACTCATGTCAACAACCCCATCTCAAAGAATTATACGCACCAGTGCCCCCTGTTGTGTGTGATGTCGATTCATTTGACCTACTTGACTACAAGATTACAGCTGAAGACATTTCCTGTATAATTTTAGCTTCTGCGCGGTCAAGTCTAATCTAGCCATTCATCAATCTTTTTAGTTTCTAAGTGAAAGTAAGTGTTTTCTCACGTTTAGGTTTTAGTTGAAAATATCTAATGTTATTCCTATTTCATTTCAAGATAAAAATGCAGATATATAGCAAGAGACGTGCCACCTAACCTCTAGGCCAAGGGTGGGCAACTCCAGGCCCCGAGGGCCGGTGTCCTGCAGGTTTTAGATCTCACCCTGGGTCAGCACACCTGAATCAAATGATTAGTTCATTACCAGGCCTCTGGAGAACTTCAAGACATGTTGAGGAGGTCATTTAGCCATTTGAATCAGCCGTGTTGGATCAAGGACACATCTAAAACCTGCAGGACAGCTGCACTCGAGGCCTGGAGTTGCCCACCCCTGCTCTAGGCTAAGAGACTGTGTGTAAATCATATCCACCTCAACCTAAAATCTTGTTTTTGAGTGTTTGAATTGATTGAATATGGCTTATCTGTTAGACCTATTGCGTTTTTATCACTTGCTTAGGTCAGTGGAGAAGCAGCTCTTAGTAGGTCTTCAATCCAAACTGGCTTTCAAACTTTCTCTAAAGGCCATCTCAGACATTTCAGCTTCACTACTGATTTTCATATCTCAGGTGAAATCATATTTATTCCCACAGGCATTTCCAGACTGCACTAAAATTCAAGAGTATCTGCAAATAATGGAATGTTGTTTTAATACACCTTAAATGTCGTTTTAAAGTGTAATTGTTTAATTTGCTTTCATTTAGTGTGATGTTTTAATCTCTAAAGCAGATTGAATGACTAAAATTCTTGTAAATGTTTTGAAAATTCACATAAAAAAAACATGCTGTAGCAAAGAGAATAAGTACAGGCCAAAAAGCACACACTCGCTTTAAACACAAGTAGGCCAAATCTATGACTATTCTAGTCTTTGGTGCTCTGATGTGTTTGTTACCATCATGGCTGCAGCTCTGTTTTTTTCCAGCTCCCACTCATTGCTTTTTCCCTCACTTTTAAATGTCAGCGACTCTGCAGTCCAGCTGCTGCTGTGTGTGTGTGTGTGTGTGTGTGTGTGTGTGTGTGTGTGTGTGTGTGTGTGTGTGTGTGTGTGTGTGTGTGTGTGTGTGTGTGTGTTTGGGAGAAAGAGAGAGAGGTAGAGAGAGATGACTCACTATCACTGTGCCCAAAGCGGTGAGACAGCTGTGAGACCTAAGTGCCACTACCCATAATTCAACACTGTCTGATGGGGTCACTGGGCTACAGGGCAGGAGTGACCCTTTATGTCTGACAGATCTGACTCTGCAGGAATGGACAGACCACAAACACATCCTGCTTCCTCAAATCTCAGATAAGAGTCAATATCTTTGCTTATACATATTTGAAGTGAGGTTTAACCATCAACACATTGAACTGGCTGTTAACATGTTTATGAAAAAGTCTGTATGCTCATTAAAAACATCTAAAAAATAAACATGTGCTTTTACACATTTTCACTTTTGCCAGGAAGAACCTAAAAGATTTATCAAATCTTATAATTTCGCCCTGTAATGAACCTGTCTGCTCATTTCTCAACATAATAAATGCTCCATAGTCACACGTTATAAAAACTCTATATCCAGCTCAATAGTCTCTCTTCCATCCATGTCAGCCTCCTCAGCTCTACTGTGCTCGAACAGGCATGTATTATTCAACAAATTCTTAAGAAGTAGTCCTCTTACTCCCTTTGGATGGAGGAGAGCTAAGAAGAGGGAGGATTCAAGAAAAAAAAACTTAAAGAGTGAAAAAGTGAAGTGAAAATTAGAGGAACGGAATGTGATGAGTTGAGAAAGCTAAAACAGAAGGAATACGAGATATAAAGGAGAGGATACACCATGAACACAGACAGAGCGGGGGAGCTGAAAAGGAGGAAAAGACTAAACAGATATGTTTTTATATATTTTTGAACACTTTGGCTTTGAAGAAGCTTTGAGGACACTGCAGTCCTGTCTTTTTTGGAGTGTTTCTTATCCTCTTCAGTCTGCAGCCAGCCAAGTTTGCCTCATTAAATTTCAATACATGGAGATAAATTTAGTCTTTCATTCTACAATGAAACACAACAAAGCTGATAATATGATAAAAAATCGACCTTCCTAATCTGATGCTGAATAAACATTACTTGAGATCTTTGACAGAAAACAGCAGGCCAAACCAACAATAGGTTGTTGGTGTAAGCTATATGATAAAATTGAGCTTTATGATATTCTAAACTTACATTAATTAAGTTTAGAACTAGGAGGAGTAAACGCTAAATGGTCCTCTTCCTCCAGCTCTATATTTAACATGCAGGCATTTTTTTAAACTAGCTCTTTGAAGAAGGCAAAAGTTTCCAAAGCACAGTGGCCAAAAGTTTAACACTCCATTAAGGGCACTTTCAGTGGCACTTTAAAACAAATGTATTTGTAAGTAGTACCATATGCAGATGGTATTATAGACAAACTGATGAACTCCCCATATTAGTCAGCTTGGTTTTTGATCAGAATATGATAGTAAAAAAGTTTTGCTGCAGAAGTCATTACCAAAAATCTTAACATACCTTTTCCATGACTTCTTAAAGAGTGTGCTTTTCATTGTGTTGTGCCGCATGGTCACCTCCTCTAAACCAACATTTAAACAAACCTTGTTATCTCTGTGCAAATGCAATTTTACACAGACTTGGTCTGCAAAAGGCAAAACCCAGAGGGTTCACACCACTAATTGGCAGCGCTGTCAGTTAATGCCATGGTTTCTGGAGTCTCTTTGAGGCATGGCGGCTCCTGTGCCATGATCCTTTACAGCGCTTTTGAGGTTGGCTGTTCCCACAGGTGTGAGCTCCACACATGGGGTCATTATCGATGGCCTCCCCCGGCTGCTTCGACCCAGCAGCCATGCACTCACAATGCACATGCACCCAAAAAAAAGAACACACACTTA